GTCGAAAATCGATGCCAGTCTTAAATGGATGGTTGTGTGAGAACAGTTGCAGCAGGTAATCGCCGTTGTCCGTTCGTGCAGATGAGATTCTCAAAGTGCTACCTAAGTGCCTTTCAGGCTTAATCATCCTATTCGTTTGTGCACTGAGATAAACTGCTGCAATAACATCTGAGCGTTTGTTTTTCATCAGGAGACTAGACATTTCGGTGGGACTCATCCATTACTTCGTCGAACTGTAACCAGTGGATGTATAGGCGGAGATAGCAAAAAGACGACAGCAAGTTGTACTACTCTTTTTGGTCTTCACTGAGCAGCGGGACAAGAGAAACCAGTGATTGGAGACTCTAGGTGATATAGCTCAGAAACGATGTCAGTGACACAGATCTATACACACATTATCCTCATCTTAACCAATATGCTTAATCTCATCATCTTATCCTTCTTTCCTCTCTTTTACTACTTTCTTTCCTTCTTCACCTTCTACTTTATTGCTCTGTTACTTGGTGCGTTGATATGAGGTGTGCCAACTAGGACCGTTACGCAGTAATGCCTAGTCCTGTGTTGATGATGAAACAGTCACCTGAAACCATCAGTGATCCGACCACTCATAAACATAATAAAAGCCTGTTCACATGGCAATCACACATTGTCTTTCATGAGTACAAAACAGCTAAGTCGTGTGACACCCCAACCGTCTCTAAAATCTCAGGGTACATATATATGTATATATATAAACAAATATGGATGGTCGTTCTTGACTCATCTTTACTACTGCTACTAATTATTTACTGCCACTAGTATTCAGTTTCGCCAGCTAATCTAGGTTGTCTTTATTCCTTTGCTATGAATTGAAGAATTTAGCAGGTTTAACTTTCTACGTATGGACAGACAGACGAAATCAAACCTAAACCCCGTATAGAAGTTCATCGGTTCAAGTCACCACACTTCACGCTAGCAAGCAAAGAAAAAGACATATTAAGATAGACAAAGGTGTATGGGAGGAGAATACATTTGAAAATAAAGTTGAGTTAAAATATTCAAGCTTTAGAAGACGTCAGAGAGGGCGTGCATCCACGCCATTGTGACTGATCTCAACCATGTCACCAAGAGTCCTCAACCACTGATTCCTATGGTCTCAAGGACCCCAGCCAGATAGTCTATACCTCTTTATATGCCCCAGACCAACAGTCAGGGACTGATGCTGTCTCTTGGTCTGACCACCTTGAACCCTCTTTCAACCTAATCCAGTTTGCAATCTTTGAACGTCGTAGTAGGTGACACCTCGACATGCGTGGTACATGCCCAACTCACTTCAGTCGATGAAGCTGAAGATGATGATATAGCCGGGACCGGCGTACCGCTAGAGGGTACGTGCTACTTCTGGGACTGACCTTTTCTTGCCTTCCTGCGTCTATCATACAAGGGGTAAAATCAACACACACTACTGGTTATGTGCGGAAGACACCTTACCGCTGTCGGATCCCGTCAAGTCAGCAGCACAACTTATCCTTTGGACCACACCATATTGTAGCTAATTACACTAAAACGGCAACCCTTTTTTGTTCAACCATCACCCATAAGACTTTTGCGGTATAACGGGACCTCAAAGAATTATTGTTCCGGTGAGCAAAGCTCGTTGGTTCGTTCCGACGACTGTCTCGTGCAAACTCACGTTAAACATTTGGACCTCACACTCAGAAGATTTCAAAAGCATGGTATCACAGTCAATATCCAGAAATGTCAAATAGGAGTCGAATGGCTCGATTTCCTTGGGTATACTATTGATAACAAAGGTATATGTCATTGACAGATAAAGTGACCCCAAATCAGGACTATTTAGAGCCGATCATTGTTAAGCAGCCTTGTGCTTTCAACAGCTTGTTAAGTCATTATCAAAGATTTTTTTCCCAGTGCAACAAGCACTGGACGGAACATCAAAGCACCAAGGAGATCACAATAGGTCTACGATTCGACTTATCTTTTTATCCTCCGCAACGACACCCAAGAATTAGACCAGACAACCAGACAACTCTTTGCAGTGGGCCCATCGGGAGAGTTTCACTAGTGGCGAAACCAATCGGTGTTTACTTCCGTCTGGTATTGTCTTAAAGTCATCACGAACCCATTAGGATGAGAGTAAGCTTTAGTGTCAAACAATTCTCTGAAATCTGTAGCCTAGGGTTTGGTGAAATTCAACATCGATAGTGACCACAATTTTAACGGAAAAGCTAAGCGGAAGACACAGTTAAGCACCCATGCCATTTGGCACGTTGCTGTGTTATGCCACCTTGATCATGTGCGATCCTCTAATATCAGTCGAAATATTGGTATTTTGGCATGGTGTATCAAATATACTATTCTTACCTGGTCAACCCGCTGTGTTTCTCCTTGAACTCAAACTAGCGGGTATTTTACAAGTACGAAGAACTAGTGATTGGGCTCTGTGCTCATCAAGTTCGCTTAAGGGCAATTCATAAAGTAGTAAGTAAACAACCTTAAATTTGATCCTGAACCACGCAGTGTCACAACTTTAAGGTTGTTTGAATCACATACCGACTGATTTCGAATGAGTAGAAGTGTAACATACAAGTTAAAGTGAATGATGTATACTGATGAACATTACATAAGTGGTAAAATTTAATCTTGGAGTAAAACTTGGCCATTGTAGTCGAGCATAATCCTATATTAGATTGTTTATTTGATACAGCACAGCGTTATACAGTATTATTTACGGGATGACATTTCCAGCAAAGTTCACTGCTTAAAATGATATCAAAGTGATCTTATGACTTTCAAACTTCACTTGTATAGTCTAGCAATTCTTCATCCTATCATAATAGTAGAAAATTTTCAAAATAACGGGGATGCGAGGTGTTAGATCAATTAACGAAGATTCTGTAATCAATCTCTCCCTTCAACCAGCCGTATTGGATTTTAAAACTGTCACCCTAATCCACCCTATGTGACTATGAATAGGTGAATACAGAGGGATAGCCGAGTTTTTCTCTGAGTTATTTATGTTATACGGGTATATTATTCTGTTTCGCTAAATTTTTGTGTTTTCCTGACTGAGCTGTTGGTAGAACATGCAGTTGACTAAGAATTAGTAGAACTGCTTCTGTAGAGGCAGTTACGCAGAGCGTACAATTGGGCAGGTTCACGGTAGAATATCTGAAAATCACTCATGGCTGACTATGAGATATAAGGATAATAAAGAGTTTTATATCATCACATCCAAGTGGCACTGGTCATCTAGTAGACACCAGAAAGACATTCACAGTCGTTTATCAAATACCATTTAATCTACTGTGCGGACTGTGTACCCGTCTACTTCATGCAGTAGAAGCAATTATCCATTTACAACCTAATCTCTGTGCAACGAACATCGCTAAACTTGACCATTGCCACCATTAACTTTCTACTTAGTAAATTAAAAGCACTTACAGATTATCCTTCTAACTAACCAACTAACGTCCCTTCGTTTCCTTAGACTTACGTGATAAACGTTAACACGTGATCACAAGAAAACAATATTCCTGTTATTTGTCATGTATCTGATTAAATAATGACTTCCTCATCTTCATAATTATTCAACCTTGTAAAATTGAACTATTCACAATTTTGTCTTGGCTTCTCCAATTAGTTCCGTGACTCAAATTTCGAGATCAATGTTAGTCGACACACAACCCCTCGATTAGTACTTCGGTACTAATTACTAAACTAAGGTTAGTGAAGCGCAAAAGATGAAGAACTACTAACAAACTTATTTCTTTAGTCCACTTTCTTCTTTGTATCCAGTATGCTAAAATCTCCCACGTACTAGTTATTCATTACATACGACAGATATGTTTTACATAACTTACTGAGAGTTGTTTGTATAACATGCCTCATATTGGATAGAACTTGAAAAAAATATTTATGCGAAAAGTCAGGAGCTGAAGTTTTCCAAACACAGACTTACTGAAAGTATAATATAAATGGTGGGGTTACGCGACGCTGGCGATTAATTGTGCATGGACTGATAAGAATAAGTCTTGAAGACCTTTAAAATGAAGAAATATAAACTATTAAGATAATGTAAATCATGGTTATTTGCCGCACCTGAATTTTGTGCTCTTAAAAGACTACTTGGTTAACCAGCTGAAAGAAAATGAAATGGGTATGAATTCCTGATAAAGGGATCGGTGCCATAACAGTTGACAAATTACAAAGTTTCATTTGCATACTGTTATTTTTATTGTTGGGTACAACAAAAACAAGCTGAAACATTCAGGTAGAATAATGACTAAACGTAGACCGCCATGTTTTTTAAATGAAATACAAAATGACATCCACCGGCTAACAAGACCAATAAAATTCGACTTAAATATTTCTGAATGATAAACCTTAATGTAACAGAGTATATGCTGCAGGTCGTGATAATTGTATTTGGCGGGTGAAATTAGCGTTGACAGTCAGAAGTGACTAACGTGATATAAAAACAGGAAAATCTGCTAATCAACAAAAATAATTTAAGATGCAGTTGCATACTTAGAAAAGATATCTTCTCAGAAAACGGATTAATTTCAATGTATGACCGGTCTAAATAGCCTAGGAAACCAATGATAATGGCTGCAACATATTGCGAATTGATAGTTGGTAACATGCTTAATATGAAAGGTGGCAGTCGTGGGTTTCACTTGGCATACGGTTTAGGTGCAAACTGTTAAGAAAACTCAAAATACGACCGGACAGCTGTCTACTGCTCTCCAGCTTTCAATATCTATTTAGCTGTTTTCGATCTATGATGAACACGGAGAATCATTAGTTACCCGCACATCTAATTAAAACTACCTCCGTGTGTCGACTCTTACAGTGTGCTAATACACTGACAGTACACTGTAATACAAATAAACTGCTCCTTTGAGTGTCTACTTCTAGAAACACCTTGTCAGTGAGAAGTTTCCAAAATAGTCATGGCAACAGTCGCTATAAAGCAAGTTTGTATAAAAATAACTTACTGAAGCACAAAGAAGAATTCCAATAAAACCAGCTCTGATTATCAGATGATGTAAAAAAAGCTCAGCTCTCTTTTGAAAGGTTACTGGTTGACTTGATCCATTTAGGGCATTTGGATTAGAAGAGGTGACCTCTTCCAACTTTGACAATTCTTCATCACATTCACCAGAAAGCCTAGCACCTTGAGCCATGAAATAAGGAGGTAGTTCACCAAGTGCAGTACCAAAACCCTTGAAATGTATAAAAAAGGTGCTAACAATCATTCATGCAGATAGACTGCAAAAGTAAGATACATATCAAATTGTCAGATTTTTCGTTTTTCGTAGCACTTGGTTAGTGATGTAATTATACCCTATTGTTTTATAATGGACTGTTATATGTTTATGATATGTATAAATACGATTGTACAGCTTTAGAAAATGATATCGTCGAAAAAGAAAAAAATCTCTTCTCTATCAGATAATATTTGAGGAGGCAGTGAATACATTGGTTGGAGTCCGAAATCCACATAAGCCTCATAACGAAATGTTTCAGTAAGACTCATGTTTTAACGAAACACCTGTACTTTCATAGGAAAATAAGGCAAAGCATTTGACTGAATAATTTGACTGCAGAATGCATTACTTATCCTTACAATTAGTTAATACAAAAAGTCATTTGCCTTTTGAACCCCCGAAAAAGCTTCGCCATATTCGAAGTGCTTATTACATAACAAAAATATACATGCAGTAAGTTTTTCCCATAAACCTTCTAGAAAATCTGACCTAGTACAATATTAATTTTCGAAATGGTCTTTACTGAAAGAACCGAAAATATGAAATTAACATTGAAGAGAACAAGTAGATAAAAATATGAGTATGACAGAAAAATGGTGTACTCAGTAGTTAGACCAAGATACGGCAAATACATGCTTTCGAAATATTTTGAAATATATCATTATATTGTTATGAATTACAATCAGTCACCTTGTGTTCAACATGCTAGTAATCACTTATCCACGGATGCACGCTGTTTATAAAACATATATAAAGTGCGAGCATTTACATTACTTCATCTGCTCGATGAGCAGAACATGTAAGGTTCATATATGGAATTTTCATGAGTTGAACAGCTAAACTATGAGAAAAGACATGAGCAAATGAAAACTAAAGTTACAAAACAGCTCAACACTTACGATGATGCTCATATAACGAGCAACACTTGTTGCAAAAGTCGCATTACTACGCAGTCACTTAGGGAGCGAAAACGAAACTCATGTTTTAATAGCTGACTTTTGAGTGCATAATTGAGGCATAGATTAATGGGTAAGAATAAATACTATGGTAGGAAATAGACTTTTAAACAAGAACACACTCAACAGGCGAATGAGGTTTAGTTGGACGGCCCCATCAGAATTCCAAGATAACGGCATCCCTACGTCAAAATTTGCTTGGCACAAGATGCGTGTAGAAAGAACAGAAACAGTAACGAAATTACCAATAAGACTATATAAAGACATAAAACAGAAAAATAAAGTACAACGGAACACTCAAAAGTACTCATAATTCCAAAACCAAATTGTTGTTTAGAATCGCACTGAAGTAACCACATAACTAAATCTTGTCGTCTACGGTTTGAGCCCTCTTTTTGTCTTAAAGGCAACAAAATTTTCAAATACCTCGAAAGGACCCAGAATTCTTATTGCAGGAACTAGGCTGTAACTAAATAGGCAAAGACTGATATTCTCTTCCCTAATCCAGACAGATCAGCTTAAATTACTGCCATCTTTTCCTATCCACCAATCCTTGCGGACTAATGCAAGCAAAGCTGTGGGTGGGATTTTCTCTGGCTTCCTCACTTTATTCTTGTCTAACAGACTTTATTTAGTTGGATCTTTTGCCCATATAACCTATTCGACCCTAGTGGACTACTTTCAGCTACGAGTTACACCTTAATAATAAGCTGCACTTAGTAACCACGTGCACGTTCGTGTGGTAGGCTATCACACCTATTGTGAGAGCTAGAGATAGCACTTGGGTGTCCAAACGTCGGAAGGTAGGGCGGGTTTCAAAACCATGACCTTTGACTGGAGGTCGAATGTCTAAACCAATAAGCTACAGCTCCACAGTGAGTGGTAGCGATTTGGTAGATAAATTTATTTCGTTTAATAGGATGATTCGTTTGGCCGTCAGCATAAATCAAACCAGACCACAGATTCTATCCTCTCAAAACGCAGCCAAAGTTTTTAGAGTCAATAGAGATTAACCAACTTGCACACAGAAGTTTAAGCATCGTGAATGAGCTAATGACAACCCTGAAAACTGCACCACTGATATTTTATTACAACCGGATGAAAAAGGTAAAGTTGGAACTGTTGATATACGAAACAGCCAGGAACTTAATGATATAAGCTTATACAGCTATTAGGCCACCAATAACTTCATCGTTTGGGAGACATCAATCTTGTGTGTCAAATCTAAAGAAACCTCCGACGATGACCTACGGCCGGACAACTGTGACTAAATAAACCAGTGAATTACTAGGTTGAAGAGAGCTCAAAGCCTTGATAGCTCATTATCAGAGGGAACGTCTGACAATAGGGAATTTCAATGTAAAAAAGGAACACCAGCATTTATACTGATGTTGAACACAGTTACTACCAACAATTATCAATTTCGATGACTGATATGGAAATAAAAATGCAACAGATCTACATAACCATGGAATAAATTCGAATAGGAAGCGATACAGGAAACTGAACCTACCCACATGATTGACTCGATTTGAACTTTGCGCATGATTTTCCAAAATGTGATTTTTTCTAGTAAATTCGGATTGTCGGGACATATGATTCTATCAGGATAAGGAGGTCGAGGAAATTTGAGCGTCCCACATTCGTATGCACTCATAGTGACTTCAGCTATGAATGGACCCTTAAAAAATCACTTTGAAGTACTAGGTAACTTACAAGATACAGAACAAATGTGTGTAAGCCCGTGCCGAATCCACATGAAGACAAAAATCCTAACCAAATCCACCAAGACCACCACAGAGAAGTGGATTTTATGCGATTAAACAGCTGAAAATTACAAAAAAAAAGGTTATGGCTCACTTCAGAATGAGGACCCTCTGAGTAGTCTAAGACAGTCAATATCAACACGAAAAAGGCAGCTACAATACATTTGTTTTTGTTTCGCACTACGGTGAAACGTAGAAGTGCAAACTTAAACAGACACTCCATGAAGAAGTAGTACAAAGTAAGCATAGGCGATTTCCAAAACAGGAGCTGGTCACGTTCCATTTTCTGTTTTGCTATTAACTCGGATTTTAGACGAACACCATTCTGTTTCTGATGTTTTACTTTTTGCTCTACATTCATTGTGACCAATGAAACCAGAATACTGAGTCCGATGCTTGAAATTACTCTACAAACAATATTAAATTGCATTATATAGCGTTACATGAAATCAATGCGTGGACGGCCTTAAGATTTAGAACATTTAAGTGTGGATGTCATGACCTACAGTCCTACAATGTCCAATGTCCGTCAAACGAACTTACATCCAATATCCAATATTGGTAGTAAGAGCGTAGAAAACTGATAGTTTTTTTATCTCTCGCGTCTAGTCCTTAAGGCTTGGTTCGAGTTTTTCGAGTCAATCCTGCAGTGGATGAGGAAATACCCTCTGCTTTCTTGCTTTTAGCCTCGGAGAGGTGGATGTTTTGTGGGTTAGTAAGTTGGAATTTGTAGCGCGATTGAGGAGTTATGAGTTGCTGGAAAGTTTAGGGGACTGTAGTGACTCCTTTCTGTGTAGGTGCCTGGAAGAGAATAGTAAGGTAGTGGTAAAAGAATGAAGAGCGAATAAAAAAGAGGAAAAACAATAATAGTAATATAGGGAAGGGAAAAGGGAAGGAGAAGAAAAGGAGGGGCGAAAAGAGAAATGAGAACGAAAGAAAAGTACTTGGGAATCGCTCGAATGGCAGCGTGAGTTTCCTTCCTACAGGAGGATTGTTAGGTGATGTGGGTGTATTAAGGAGAGAGACAGTGAGTGGTAGTTAGGAGGGAGTTGGGGGCTACTGAGGTTGGTGACTACCTGAGTACGTCCATGGTAGTCCATGCGAGGTGACATAACTGTCTAATCGCCTCTTGAATGAGTCGATTGAGGGAGCTATAACGACGTGTCGCGGCAAGGCATTCCATAAAGCACATACTCTTAGGGAGAAAAATTTGGACCTGAGTATGGTGTTGGCTCTCTGGTGGGCTATCTTAATGGGGTTTCCTCGTGAAGACCTGGTCGGTGTCGTAGCGAGCCGGTGTGGATCTTGTGTCAGTGCCACGTTGGGCTTGGAAGGGTGAGCTCAAAAGCTCGGCAATCTCTAGACTGCCGACAAAACACAATAACCAATATCACTAGTGTCAGTACAGGAGTCTCGTTTTTTTTACTATCGCTTCTAGGTCTTGAAGCTCCGTTCTTTTCGTTCAATCCTACTCCATCTGCGGTTGCCGAAGTGTTTATGTTATTCTTGCTTATAGCTTTGGAGACAGTGAAAGTCGTTTTGAAGTCATTTTTCCTGCAAATTGAGGCTTGTATTGTATTTGGCAGGCAACGGAGATGCTGATGTATTAGGCAATTCCAATTCCTGTTTTTGGAAGTACCTGCGAGTAAACACCATGCGCTACTTAAAAAGTGCCGGAAACAGGGCGAATGGGAATGAGAAAAAGAGTGTGGTGCCGTAAACTTTCCCGAAATCAAAGCCTAGGGTTCGACGACATTCAACATCGTTGCTGACCTTGAGAGTTTAACTAGACTCGTTAAGCTGAAGACACCCGGTCAAGCATCCTCGCCATTTGGCATGCTGTCGTGTTACGTTGCACTGCTCGTATTCGACTCTCTAGCCAGTTAGTTGGAACGCATCGGTATCTTGGCACAACCACCCAAATATACTATTCCATCCTACTGCGCTATGGTGTTCTTGCTTGGTCTCGTATTCGTGGACATATAACGAGTCCGAATAATTAGTGATTGGTCTTTGCGTCTGTCGATTTCGCACCAGAACAATTCCTAAATTGGTAAGCCCGACGTGATCACATATCCCGACCAATAGCAAATATTGAACTGGTGAGCCTGTTCCATTTAATATTTGTATATTGTTTTCATTTAGATAACGTTTATATATCTGTTTACTACATTTTCTCGTATCCGACCACACTCCCAAGCTTATCCTCATTTAGCTGACTACAAACATGATCCAACTCGTGTTATATCGGCCAGACAATGTGGAAACATGGTTTCTGTATACCAAGGCAGATTCTTGAGAACGGCGTCTGAGATCCTCATTCTCGATTTCCTGCCGTCACATGTTCACTACCAAGGGAATTAAACAGGCATGTTACAGCACATATGTTTGGTCCTGAAGTAAGTGATCCCTATGCACTTCTAAAGGCCGCTTTGTTGAAGAAAAGCGATCTCACAGATCGCCAACGTCTAGACGAATTGCTTCGTAACATCGAGCTAGGCAGCCACTCAGCTACTGAAGTCCTCGCACGCATGCGAGAAGTAATGGGCGCGCGAACATTCAACAATGGCCTTTTCCGAGAACTATTTCTCTCAAAACTACCACAACCGGTGCAAACCGTGTTGGTGACACTGCAGTCAGTCCCACTCGACGACCTGGCAGCCTCAGCAGATAAAATACTGGAGATATCTAGCAGACCCGTCTCCAACGTATGTTCTGTCTGCAACAAACCAGAGCGCCAGGATTCAGAGGTGACCAAGTTGTGCAACTCTGTGAAACGGTTGCTACGATCTCGAAGTCCTAGTTCACGTAGGACTCCACAGAAAAGCGTCTTAGTGCATCGCAGCAACTAGCGTGGTTTCCCCAAGACTAAACCTAATGAGGTAGAAAATGCCAAATGGTGCTGGTTTCATAATACTTACGGAGACGAAGCCAAAAATCGCCGGAGACCACGCAGTTTTAGCAAGGACACAAACTCGGGAAACGGCCACGCTGGCATGTGTTCACGGCAACTGTAGCCGGCGAAAACAGCCGTCTGATATACGTCACCGATATGAAGGCGAAAGTTCGCTACCTCATCGGCACTGGAGCAGAAGTTAGCGTTCTTCCCGCACCCACAAAGAAGCGTCATCGTGACCCAACCATCAGTCTCCAAGCTGCTAACAGCAAGGTGGTCGCGGCATTGGGAGACGGTGCGCCTACCCCAGCCTAGGTTTACTCTAACCCATTCATAGGATTTTCCTCCTGGCTGACTTTTCTGCGCCCATCATTGGCACAGATTTGCTAAACCATCACTATTGCTAGTCGTCAGCGACTGGTAGACAACAACACAAAGTCATCTATTGGTGGGACCACCTACGTAGGTCCGAGTTTAGCCATCTTCGGAAACAAACAACCAGGTGACGTGTCCTGTCATGCAATGTTGGAGAAATATCCAGAGTTACGACAGCCGACGCACACTCTTCCATGCGTAACCAGCAATGCTATGCACCACGTCACAACCACATGTTCAGCTGTGAAACTCGGAGCACTCCTTCTATACCCTCATGAGCTGAAAATGTCGAAAAGTGAAATCAACCACATGCTCGAACTGAGCATTGTCAACCCGTCAAACAGTCCTTTGGCATCACCATTACACGTAGTTTCTAAAAAGGACAGCAACGATTGGCCTCCAACCAGTGATTACCAAAAGCTTAACGCGAAAGCAGCGCCGGACTGCCACCCGATACCCCAAGTTTATGACCTGAATGCGACGTTATGCAGAATGGACATTTTCTCCCAAGCCGATCTGATCAAATCGCATAATCGGATAACCATGGCAGCAGAAGATGTCGCAAAAACAGCCATTATTACTCATTTTTGTTTGTTTGAATTCCCACCCATGCCATTTGGTCTTCGGAATGCAGCGCAAACAATCCAACGCTTCATGTGTGATGTCTTCCATGGTTTAAACTTTGTCCGCGCCAACATCGATGACTGTCCCATTGCCAGCCCAGATGAGAAAACTCAGCCTGAATACTTGGGCCTCGTGTTAGAAAGGGTGAAAAAACATGGCATCACAGTCAACTTGCAGAAGTGCGAAATAGGAGTTGAATCACTCAGCTCCCTGGGGCATACCATTAACAACAAAGGTATGGGCCCACTGAGAGATAACGTGGCTCCTATCACGAACTATCCAGAGCCGACCACTGTGAAGTGGCTCCGCACTTTCAGTGGCCTGGTAAGTTAGTACCGAAGGTTTATCCCCAACTGTGCCTCTGTCATGAGACCACTAACAGATCTACTTCGAGAGGCAACGAAGTACGTTACTCTGGATAACGTGGCTAGACTTGCTTTTTCTAAAGTCAAGGAAGTCATTTCAAACGCAACCATGCTTATGCATCACGACCCCAATGCTCCTTTGGGCATTGCTGTTGATGCATCTGACTCAGCAGTTTTGCAACAGTTGACTGACAACCAGTGGCAACCGTTAGCCCTTTCCTCGAGGCAGCTGCAACAGGCAGAAACAAGATACAGTACATTTGGTAGGGAACTACAAGCTACGTACTGTTCTGTACGCCATTTTCGACATTCGGCGGAAAGTCGTGGTTTCATTATTTTCAGAGGCCACAAACCGTCAACCTTCTCTCTCAGCTCAGGATCTGACCAACAACCCCCCCGTGAGTCGCGACAACTGGATTACATTGCCCAGTTCACGTCAGACATCCACCACATTTCTGGAGCAAATAACTCCGTAGCCGATGCACTATCTTGAATAGCTTCGATAAGCCATATCGAAGACGTTGATCTCGTTGAACTCGCTTGGCGTCGAGAGGAAGACCTTGAGCTGCATCATAGGTTGTCGTCCACAACTCTCAAGCTACGATTGTGTTCAGCGGGATCGGAGAAGAAAGCAATTTTGTGCAATGTCTCTGCTAGTCAACCACGCCCAATAGTTCCGAAGAGATGTCGACGCGACGTCTTCAGTACGTTGCACAAACCATCCCATCCAGGTGTACGAGCCGCCATCAGACTTATTGCACAACGTTTCTTCTGGCCGAGAATGAAAAAATACGTTGATGAATGAGCCCAGTCATGCTTGGCCTGTCAGAAGTGCAAAGGTACACGACACACGGAAAGCCCTTTGGGTTATTTTCTAGCCCCAGACATGCGTTTCGACTACGTCCAGATCGACATCGTAGCACCTCCACCGGAATCCAATGGATGTACCCACCTTTCCACTTGTGTGGATCGCTTCACACGATGGCCGGAAGCAGTACCTATTAAGGATACTACTGCTGAACAGTAGCCAGTGTTTTCGTGGAAAGATGGATCGCGAACTTCGGATGTCCATCTTACGTAAAAACCGACCGTGGGCGCCAA